TGCAGAGTATTCAGGGTCCCTTGTACCAGCAGTGAAACTGGAAACTGGTTATGGGAACACTGTGGGAGAAAGGGAAATGAAATGATGTGCAGCTCTGGGGTGAACTAGCTGAGAACCTTCCCATTTACTGTGGATTTGGGAACTAGAAAGGGCTGAGCAGAGCCAGCACCTGCAGCCCTTCAGAGGGAGCTCAGCGCTGGGCTCCTCTTTCATTCTGCTCTAGTTCAGTGTGTGCCACTGCTCAGTGGTGCTCAGCCCTTCTAATGCCATAGCCCCCTGTTCTGTGTCAGCCTTGGCAAATCCCCCTCCCCACCCTGCAGCACCCCAGCACCAAAGCCCACCTGGTTTTCCCAGGACCAGCTGCCTGGGGGGGCTGCCTTACACGCTCAGGCTGTGGCAGGAGAGAATCCTGAGTGTAAGATGCACTTTAAAAAGAAATCTTTCCTTAGTTTGCAGACATAGCATTAGTTTTGATTTTTACTCACCCACATTTAATTTTCCTGTTGCAATGGCATTTTAAATCATGCTTTTCTTGTTCATTATAACATTTAACTTGCTGTGTTCTTTTTTTTCTCTCTCCCACCAGCTGTTTGTCTCGTGTGTGTGTGGTGTGCTGCCTGCCTCTAAGACCCCTGTAGAAGATAACACAACTTTACTACCACGTGAGCTGCCTTCGAGCCACTGTGCCAGCATCCACCTCTCCTCACCCCACTGCACCAGAGCTGTCCGAGACACCCACTTGACAAAACAGAGGATGAATTGAGGGGCTTTTTAAAACCATCTAATGATTTTAATATGTTGATATTTCCTAAAGTAAATGCCCTAGTCACACTTCAAAGTTGCATCAAATGGAACAGTTCAGCTGGCACTTGTAAATCTGATGGGACCTGGTTTGTATCTCAGGTTCCCCAAGGAAACAGTGAACTCCTGTTGTGCAGGAAATAGCTGGCCTGAAACAGAAACAAAGTTCTCTAAAGAGGACACTTCTAGGACAGTAAATGCAGTGAGTTTCTCTGTGCAAGCAGGTGATTTTTTTTCTTTCCTTTTTCTTTCCATTTCTATAGTCTATCTGAAATGATGACACTAGAAATGGGGGGAAGAAATGTTGCCTACACGGAAGCTGGCCTGGCATCAGGGGTGCAGCTACAGGGTCTTTAGTCTGTGGGTCCTCCATCATTTATAAGATGTCCCAGAAGGCTTTGAATCATCAAGGGAGGCTGTACAGCCCTGTGGCCGATGATCCTGTTGTCCAAGAGGTTTTTCCTCCCCAGATGTGTCAGCCCTTACCCCCTGGCACGCAGTTATTTGTGTGTGGCCAGCAGAGCATCACTGCTGGTGCAGCTCCAGTTTGCTTTCCTGTTTGTCCCTGCTGAGATGATGTGCACTGCAGCCATTCAGAGCTGGTCATGATATTTCCAGCAGAAAAAGCTTCCTCCCTTTGCAATGCCACAGTGAGGATTTCTGTTAGTACTGCACTGGCCAGGCTGGGTTGTGTTAGGATCAGATGGGCTTCGTGGTAATGCTGTACAGATTGGCTGATCTGCTGCATATCTGGCTCCTGCTGCTGAAATGGTGAGTGTGTCCTCTCAAAACCAACCGAGTTTCAGCAAAATGTGCCTATTTTTCTTCCATATAGAGAACAATTTCTCCCTCCTGAGCAGGACTAGTGATGACAGTGAAAATGCAAAAGCAGATCTGCACCAGTGTCCCCACGACAGTCCCCTCCCAAAGCAGCCCTGGGAGAGCATCTGGCTCCCCAAAATAGGGACTGCTCAGGGTGCAGGTTCTCTGGTGAGAAGATGGGAGAAGCAAACTGCTTGTGGCATTCAATACTAGATGCTTCATCCCTCATTGCTCACAAACTGCACTTCACCATGATCTGCAGATCCTTGTCCATCACAGGGTTAGTTTGATAGAATAATTCTGGGATGCAGATCTTGTTGGCTATAAAACAGGAGATGAAGAACTGAAACACTGCATAAGCCTTTAAAGCTTTGCTGGGAGCATCCCTGACTCAGCCTGTCTTTCCTTCTCCCTCCTCAAGTTTATTTCACACCAAGTAACTGTGCTTCAAAGGAAGCTGTGTGAATAAACACCCTGCAGTTAATTTCTTGCCTTCAATCGCTCGCTCATTTGCGGATGACATGTAACATAGTCTTGAGTTATTCAAATCACAACGTAAGCGCCCTTTGCACAGCAGACACTGCTTCTGAGGCTTTTAATTGTGGTGTTTATATTTTGCAATGTGTTGGTTCCTGTCTCCTTTAGCTAATATTGAATGATCTAATCTGTGTCTCGTAAACGAATCTATTTTAGCTCCATTAGAATAACCCCTTAATTGAAGGCACACAGGCAGCCTGGGATGGAAGAAGCAATGCTAAACAGTAAATACAGCTAATGGAACGATTTACGGTGTGTGGATGCTCTTAGCTTTGATGATACCCCAATTAGCTGAGCTGCTGTGTTTGATTTTAATTGTAATGAGAATTAATTGGAGAGCGCTGCACAACGGCAGCCCTGCAACGGTGTTTTCATGTTTCAAAAAAAAAAAAGGTGAAAGCACCCACCTCAATTTAATGGGTTTTGTTTCTTTATTTTACAGAAAAAAACTATGGATGTCTATAGGAGAGAGGTAAGTGGTCCTTCCCTCACTTCTAGGTGTTCATCCTCTACGTATTGCTTACACCAGTGTTGTCTTGGGGCTCAAAGCCCCCTTTGCATGGGATGAGCAGTTATAAAAATGCCTGGGTTTGGCTGGCAGAGTCTCTGCCCCATGGAGCTTCTGGTCCATGTGCTTTCAGGACATTTCCTGCTCCTGCATCTCCCACTGCAGGCAGCCAGTAGCTCTCCCAGTGATGGGAAGGCTCAAGCAAGGACAGACACCAGGGCTAAAATCCAACAGATCAAAGTTAGTGGTGGGGAAATCACAGGAGATACATCCAGTGGCGCCAGTGTAGAGCCAGCCAAGGATCAATGATAATTACATGCTAAATCATCCAGAGCATTTGTAGGTGTCTAGAATGGTAGCTATTATCCAATTTTTGTATAGCATGGGGAGTGCTTTTTAATTACTTGCACATTGCAAAATGCTCTTCTGACATTTGCAATCAGCTCAGTGAAAACAGCCATTTTACTAAGATGGTTTAGGGATTCTCTGAGTCCTTGGACATCGGATATTTAGGGAAGAAGCAGTTCCTGTTGTAGTTAGCCTCACAACCTGGGAAAGGATGTGTTTGAGGTTCAGATAGAGATGGCCTTGTTGTCACATCTCCATGCTCCTAACCATGGATATCTCTGATCCCTCTCAGATCATGTACTATCAGCAGGCCATCATGAAGCCCAGAGTGAAATCTTCTGTCTCTCTCGGAGCGTAAGTCCTGATTTCCTTCTGTCCACACATTAATTAGTCTTCAGCGCTTATCTCCTAATGAGATGACGAAGCTATCTGCTCCAGCAGCTGGTGACTCAGTCAGGGGAATCGATGTGGTGGCCACACACAGTGTTGATTATGCTGTCTGGGCTTCTGGGCTGTGCGTTGCCTGGGCCAGGAGGGGATGGAGTCCCAATCATGATGAAGAGGGTCCCTCTGAGCTATGGGAGCTTTGCTGTGAACGTCTGTAGAGCAGCACCAGCCTCTTGGTTGAGATTCCCTTTGAAATCAAGAGATGTTCAGATTGGTCAGGGCTGGATCATGGTGCTTGGGACCCAACACAGCTCTGCAGTCTGGAGAAGCAGTTGCATGAAGGCTGCCTTGTGAGGATGCAGCAACCTGTCTGTCCTGTGCCTCTTCTTGTGTGGGAGCAGAGACAGACTGACCCACCTGTCCCTGGTCACCAGCCTGCTGGGCTGGGTCCAGCCCCAGTGAGTGTTCTTGCTCATATGGTGATGCTCACCAGAAGGCAGCAGAGATGGGGAAGTCTCTGGTTATTCTCTATTATGAAGGAACACACACTTCTCCATGGATGTCCAAGCAGTTAATTAGCAATTCCTCTTCTCAGTGGGAGTGTTTCCTGATCAGACTCTTGATGAAGCCAATGAAGTGTGGAGCTCCTGGTCCTAACATCAGCCTTTAGTGTGTTTGCCACAGGCATTTCTTACTTGGAATCTGACGTGCTGGCTAGTTGCCTAGAGGTGCAGTCCACACCACCAGTCTGATTTACATAGTCATTGCCACCCAGAGATTCCTATCCAACTGGAGATAAACAAGGTGCTCAGGCCTGTTCCCTGGGAGAAGACAGTCGTGGATGACTGGAATGGGAAGAAGAGTCTGAGAAGGTGTGCTGTCTTCTGAGAACCACAACTTGCAAGGCACTGGCAGTTTTACTCATTTAATTTCTCACTGATCCCCAGGTCACTTTAAACTCTCCTGCCTTAGTTTTCCAAACTGTGAGCTGGAGCTGGGGACACTTGACTACCTTCCAGGAATTTTGTGGTCCTTTACTGTTTAGCAATGGAGCTTTTCACACATTAATCCTGGCCTTCTGATTGATAATGCCTGTTGCCTAGATGAAAAAATCCTCAGGAAATTTGGATCTCTATTTCAGCTGCAGGACTGAGTCCCAATCAAATTATTATTGATGAGGATAAGAGCAGCAACTAGCTAGTGTGCATGCATCAGAGCCTTGCATTGATTTAGGAAGAGCTACGAAGCACTAATCATTAAAAGGACAGAGCAGTGTTACCTGAGTTGACAGGTTTAGATTTGTAGCTTGATTAGAATATATGGATTGGAGTGAATTATGCAGGTGCTGAATGCTTTGGCATTTCCAGTGAGAAGATAGGATCGAGCACTTCTGTGCCAAACCTGTGGGATGCTTTGTGCAGCAGCATTGTATAATTACAGGATCTGTGCCAAGGTGCCTGTTAGCGACGGGTCCTTGGACAGTGCACTCCCAGCTCTCAGCACATGAAAGCAGTTTGGCCTGGAAGGAATTTGAAATGCAGAAACCAGATGATTTTATTATTATTATTATTATTATTATTATTATTTTTTTTTTTTTTTTTTTTTTCAAGAATGAAAAAGGGAGGAGAAAGCTAAAATTCCAGGGCATTAGTGAAATCGGTTGTAATTATGAGTCTGGCCAATTTAGAAGGTAGGATAAGGGTTTGTCTGGTTCCTGTGAGGATAGAGACATTTTTTGTGCCAAGCCCTCAGAGTGATTTGCAGAGGAATGAGCCTTGCGGTAGGTGAGCGGAGGAAAGGAGAAGCTGGGATGTGCTCTCAGCACTCCCTCACCTCTCCCGGAGCTCCCTGGGCTCTCCCACACCCTGTGGGAAGGCTGTGGAGAATCCACCCTGAGCAAATGCAGCGTTTGCTTTCCTCTTCTCTGGCACTTTCTTCTCTGGCACGTGTGGCACGAGCTGGTGCAGGATCAGGCCTTTGCCAGTTGGCTGGAGAAGGAGACAGAAGCTGTTTGGGGGCTTAGTCCCACTTCCTTGAATTGAAGAGGCAAAAGGAGGTGATGGAAGAGAGTCTTGTATCTCCCTGCACTTGAACTGACAAAATTGCTGATTTAAAAGAGAACCAGGAGATTTCTGTTTGGGAAATGGAAAGAAGAACTCATTTAAAGAATATATTTTCCTAGCAAGGCAAGGGCCACGTCCCATATCCCTGTGCTGGGAGAGCTGCACATCTGAAGATACCTGTAGTCCATGCAGACATTTATTTGGTTTTAATGGGGGTGGCTGCAATTCTGCTTGCAAATTAATAGTTTGATTTTTTTATTGGATTTACTTGCAGGCTCGTGAAGTACTCTGAGCAGTTCCTTTCCAATGATCCTGTCCTGTCTGGATGTCTCCCCAGCAACCCCTGGATAACAGATGACCCTGAGTTCTGGGATCTCAATGCAAAACTGTATGTATTTCTATTCTCTTGCCAGCTGGTGGTTTACACTGACCTTTATCCTGGTAGAAGTCGGAAAAGGGAACCATTGATTGTGTTATGATATCCAGTCTCTGATCACGAGCAGGGAAGCATTCCCTTTCTGACACAGCTTGGCCATGCTAGTGAAACTCTCTCTTGGGAATACTCCATGCTGAACTTCCAGCGTTATCTTCAAGTGGAACCTTGCCTAACATTGCAGAGATTCCTCAGCTGATGATGGGAGTATGCACTCAGCCCCTGCTGAGTGAGTCTAAACCTCCCCTTGGGTGAGTGAAGTCCACTTTTACTAGCACAGGAATGGAGTATGACCGGTTGTGCTCAGGTATAGCACTTGGTTTAGTGTTAACCCTACTAAATTAGGTGCTGCCAATGGTGTAGCAATTCAGGGTTCAACTACTGGCCCTTGGTCTTTGCACACACCTCAGGCTGCTTTCTTAGGAGAGAGTTTGGGCTGGAGGCACATACTGGTGGTCCATCCCTTCTCTGAGGTCTCCTTTGGTTTTCCATTCAGATAATATTTGCTAATTGTACAGTGGCATCTCTGGGCTTGAAGCATACAACCTCTTACTGGTTCTCATTTGAGACCAGCAATCCAGTTTGAGTGATAATATCCCATTAGACAGCCCCAAAGGATGCCTTCACAGAATGCCTTTATGAGAAGCAAAGCTTTGGGCATCAACCAGTGCTTCTTCCAGAATGGGACTTAGTCAAACCTCCAGCAAAGCTGGGCTGTCATTGTGAGAGCAGCATAAATCCGAGATAAATCCTCATCCCACTGTGTACCAAGTTGTTTAATTACAGCTTGCTTAGTGGGCTGACTTCAGGAGCTCATTACAGCATTCTGGAAAACAGAGTGTACTGAGAAGTCTCTTGGCATTCCAGCAAAGGGCATTTTGGTTTTAATTAATCTGCCAATTAGATGGGCCACATGAAACTGGCAGTGCTGTTTGTTTTTCAACCTGTGCAGAGTGGAAATCCCCACCAGAATGCGTGTGGAGCGATGGGCCTTCAATTTCAGTGAGCTGATACGGGACCCGAAAGGACGGCAGAGCTTCCAGCTCTTCCTGAGGAAGGAGTTCAGCGGTGGGTTTGCTGTGTCTCTCTTTGTCCCTGTTTAGGCCACACAGCAGGACGCTGCACAGCTGAGACAGAGCAGTGGTGGAAATCCAGTCATTTGCAGTAGGTGTTGTGACCTGAGACAATGGCAAAGTCACAAAGTAAAGGCAGCAGAAGTGACTTTGGAGGCAGTGGCTGTGCAGCCAGTGTGAGCAATACCATCTAGTGGCACAAGACACAAAATACAGCCCAGGACACTCCCTGGGCAGGGAAAAAACCAATTTCAAGGGGAAATGGTTTTAAACTGAAAGAGGGGAGGTTTAGATGAGATATTAGGAAGAAATTCTTCACTGTGAGGGTGGTGAGACACTGGCCCAGGTTGGCCAGAGAAGCTGTGGCTGCTCCTCCCTGGAAGTGTTCAAGGTCAGGCTGGATGAGGCTTTGAGCAACCTGGTCTAGTGGAAGGTGTCCCTGCTGATGGCAGGGGGGTTGGAACTGGATGAGCTTTAAGGTCCCTTCCAACCCAAACCAGTCTGGGATTCTATAAAACTCTACTCCCAGACAAGCTGGAACTGGCTGAATTCACAAGCTCTTACAGGTGTCCTTTGTCCCTGAGCAGAGAGCAGGGGAAAGCTGTTTTCCTCCTCCAGTCCCAAGAGGATTTTCAAGGTGGCTGTAAGAATTGGAGACTCAATTGTGGCCAACATGTATCGAGTCAAACAGATTCAGTTTAGGAGTTAACAAATGGGATTGTGTTTTCCTTAGTCTCTCTCTGCTGACTGTGCCCTGTTTATGCAGGAGAGAATCTGAGTTTCTGGGAAGCCTGTGAGGATCTCAAGTATGGAGACCAATCCAAGGTCAAAGAAAAAGCAGAAGAGATTTACAAGTGAGTGTGATAACTTTATGTTCTTAAACTCTTTGTACATGAGTCCCATCACCTTTTCCACACGTTGTCATTCTCCAAACGATTTATTCCTGAGACTTTTCTTTGTACACTGTCACCAAATGTGACTCTCCTATGTCCCCATGTAGGAAAGGAGCTTTTGAAGCTGAAGGCATAACTATTGTTTGTTTTTAGAGTTACTTCTCTCTGTTCTCCACTATTACATTTAGGTCTTAGCAAGTAGTTTAAATAGAGGTGAGGAATAGCTAAAATCTTGGGGCTGCTACGAGGAGACCCTTTTTGTTTCCAGATAGGCTAAAATTTGGTTTATATTGTATGTTAACAGTGAAAGAGGAAGTGGGGAGCTGAAGGGACTTTTCCTTTCATGCATAGACAGAAGAGTCTCCAGGAATTCTCCAGCTGTTAATGGCACTGTTGATTCCTCCTCCTCCTCCTTGCAGGCTCTTCCTGGCTCCAGGAGCAAGGCGCTGGATTAACATTGATGGCACCACAATGGGCATCACGGTCAGAGGCCTCAAGCACCCTCATCGTTATGTTTTAGATGCTGCTCAGACCCACATTTACATGCTGATGAAAAAGGTTTGTGATTTGGTTCCAAAGCCTTAGGGGGATTCCAGCTCTCTGGGCCTTTCCGTGCCTGTGTGTGCAATCAGCTGTCACTGTCAAGTGGCCTTTATTTGGAAAAATCCCTCAAATTTGCTGACTTAAGCAAGAACTGGTTCAGGCCTTTGTATTTTGCTGCTTCTTCTTCCCTCTAAGGCACCATGTCCCCAAGGTGGTAGAGGTCAGGAGTCTGCTGGAAGTCCTATTTTCTAATACCAGCTTGGTCACCAGCTTATTCAAAGCTTGAACAAATCTTAATTTCACTCAATACCACTGTGTGTGTCCATTGGGATACCTGATGGGTGGGATGCTTGTGTCCAAAAGGATTTCAGCAGTGGATGGGAAAGGTGGGAGCAATTGTGATATAACAGCATGAATTTTGTACCAAGAACATCACCAGAGATAGCCCATCTCCAGTTTTACTGAGTTTTTATTCACAGTTATGTTGATGAACACCCTTTTTATAGGTCTGACTGATGCAGCAGACTGTGGAGTGATGTCAGCATATAATATGTCATGGCTTTTGTTATATCCTGGTGACCACAAATAACCTGTAACTCCTTCTCATGGGTGATAAAAAATACACTTAGCAAAAATACACTGAGCCAGAGCAGCAGCTGAGGTGCACTGAGACTGAAAGCAGCAGGACTCTACTGATTTTCACCAGATGTTGAAAAGTTTGGCTCCTGAAACATGAACACCTCACCCTGCAATGACTGTGAGACACCACTGGCCTGGGTTAAGCTCAGTTCAGACCTTTTGGTCTGAATCTTACCTGGGAAGCTTTATTGGGAGATGGAAAATCCTGGGAGTTTTACACCAAGATGAAAGGGAATTGGTTTAAATAGCTACATTTGCCTGAAAGATGCAAAGTCCCTTGGGCTGCTGGGGGAAGATGATCCAGTTCCCAGCCTCCTTGGCTCCTGGGCAGCTGTATTTGGTGGTGATTTTAATAAGGGTGTTTGCAGCCTGTAACTACCAGTTTCTCTTTTCTTTTTTCTTTTTTTTTTTCCCTCCCAGTAGGACTCCTATGGCCGCTATTTAAAGTCTCCAACATACAAGGAAATGCTGGCCAAGGCTGTTGTGCCACGAGAGGGTTCCAGAAGGCAAGTGAAACTGCGTGTAATCGTGGGGTTTGTTTTCCTTGTCGTAGCAAGGGTAGAAAAAGCCTGAGTTGCAGCAAAATTACTATGATTTAGATGTTCTCTTAATTAAATACAATTTTTTGCTAGAAAGTTGTCTTGCTTTGAGACTGATTGTGCTTTTTGTTTGTGAACCCTTTGGAAGTGGCTTGTGTGCAGTCAGAATTGACTTGATTGCTCGGCTGCCTTGTCTGTTGGGTCTGTTTAGAAAGGCTGGGATTGTTGAATTAATCATGGCTCCTTTCCTGGAAGGAGAGAGCACTGTGTAGAGGGCATGGGGAAAACTCCCACCCATCAAACATTGGCTGCCAGAGGGGACACAGAGCCAACACGTGGTCCTCTATGGGTTTTGCTCAGCTCTGCGTGGACAAAACCATTGACCCTCTGTGAGGTGATGGTGACAGGCAGCCATGGGAGCAGACAGCACCTTACCTGCTGGCACAAGGTAGACAGACTTAGAAGAAACAGTCTTGAAATGGCTTTTTCCTGACCAAGGTGAGGGTTGCACAGCAAATTTAGGCCATTTGAACTGCAGTTATTTGTTCAAGCTGAGTGTGCAATGTCAGACTGGGTGGTGTTCTTTCTCTGTTCCTCTTCCACTCGTCAACTAGCAAGCAAGAAAGAGGAATCATGGACTTTCATACTCTTATTTCATCTAAAGCCCATTTTAAGTCAGTGGAAAAAAAAAAACCCAACCCTCCTGCTGACTTGTCTGGGGTTTGGTTAGTTTTCCCCTGAGCCACACATCACAAGGTCGCTGGCAGATGCTGGTTGACCCCTGGTGACTATCTCCATGTTTGTCATTGCCTGTTCTGGAGACACAATACTCAGCATCTCGTGTAAGTACCTCATCCAAAGGTGGCTTAACACCTGTTTCCAGTGCTGCTGGTAATGGCTTTGCTGAAGCAGGTAGCGGGTGTTTTGTGGGGTATCACAGACACCAGAAACACCCACACTGGTCCCTGTCTTGATCTTACCGAGGACACAAGAAGAAACTCCCCTGATGGCAGTTGTTTGGGTTCACACTGAGGGTTAGTTATGTCCAAATGCTTACAAGAAAAGGAGGAGTGCACTGGCCATCTTCTGGCCTTGGAGTCCCTCACGAGGACTTTATGGAGCTGACTTGATGCTTTTAGCAGTTCTGTAGCTGATGTGTGACACTGAGTCACTGAGTCCTGCTTTAAACCACTTTGTCCTCATTTGTGCTTCCTTGTTGTTGTGCGGGTGACAGTGACACGTCCACCTCTGTCTCTGAGCTTGCCCTCCTGGTATGTTGACTTACCAGGGGTGAGTTTTTGGTGCCCTTCTACTTTGCAGTAATGCCCTGCTTCTTTCTCTCACTCTCTGCCCAGCTCTTCTTTGCCATTTGGACGCCGTCGCCTCCGCTCCAGCCCCAGCCCCGTCATCCTGAGGAAGCTGGAAGAAGAGGCCAAAGCCAGAGAAGCTGCTGCAACCGTGGACATCACGCAGGTCATGAGCAAGCTGGATCGCAGGAGCCAGCTCAAGAAGGAACCTCCCAAGTAGGCTCTGAGCCCTGCAGGGCACAGCGCAGGGAAAAGACAAGCTGAGGCTGGTGTTGAGCTTCGTCTCCCCTTCCTGAAGGTGTCAGTGCTGCTTTAGGTTTCCCAGGCCGGCTCTGCCCACAGCCTGCTTCCTTGCACGTTGCCATGGCTGCTGGGGCAGCAGATGTCACTTCCCAGGCATGTCAGGCATGGGAATGCTGCTGGAGCCAGGCTGCTGGCTGTGCCGGACTCGGGGTGCAGGGCCCCGGCTCCCTCCCCATACACCTCGGAGCAGGGATGTCTTCTGGCTGCCCAGACCCCCCCGGAGGTTGGGCAGCCCAGCTGCCTCTCCCTGCTCCTGCTTCTCCAGATGGTGGGATGGCATGAGGCAGAGCCAACTTCTGCCATCCCAGTCCTTTGGGTTCAAATCAGCCTTCTTCAGAGTAGAGATGGGTGACCCTGCAGGGAGCAGGGCGAGATGGGCCACCTCAGAGCGCATCCACGGTGGTGTCCATCCTCTCGAGATGATGTGCACCCCCCCAAGGGAGGCATCCTGGGCACTCCCTGAGTGGAGTGCATCCTTTCCTTCAAGGATCCTGCACCTCCTAGCCAGGGCAACAGAGCCACAGGCAGAGGAGCGGGGTAGACTCCTTGTGAGAACGGTAGGATGAGCGTTTCTGAAGGTTTAGTTGACCCTTTGAATTTTAATGACACTCCCATGTCCCCCCTGGCACGTTGGAGGTGATCAGTAGAAACCTCCACTCTCCTCTGTGACTCCCCTGGGTGATGAGCTAGGTGTGCAGGCGTAGAGAGCCCACAGGAGGGCTTGAGAGATGCAGCCATGGTTTTACTTCTTGTATCAAATCCTTCCTGCCTCTTGTCTTGTCTTTTTCCTGTTCTTCTATTTTCTGTTGTTTAAAAAAACAAACAAACAAAACCCAACAAACCTAACAGGAGATAGTTGCAGTTGTCGCTGGCTTGTAGCCCAGAAGCAAGGAAGAACCAGGGTAGAGGTGTTAAGAGCCAATTTCAACTTTAAGTAGTGGGTTATTTATTTATTTATTTATTTATTTATTTATTTGTTCTGTCTCTTTTGCTCTTTAGAATAAAGCAAACTAAAATGCTACGTTAGAGCTAAAGAGCTCAGGGAGATTCCAGGCTTTGCTGGGAAACCCCAGGGTGTCTAGGCCAGGCCAATGATTACCAGAAATGGGAAGATTCCTACAAAGTCCAGTAAAGGGAATTGGGGAAGCAGAAAAGCTTCCTTGTTTGTTCAAATTTAGGGAAAGCAGAGGGACTGGATGGAAAGCACTGAGGTCTAAGAAGCTTCTTCACTCCAGTTCATACTGTTCATCTGTTTTTACTACTGGTAGGATTTTACAGGACATGGGAGATGGAGAAAGCTGGGCGTGAGATGGAGCCCTCAGGTTTTAGGGTGCATGCAGACCCCCCCTCACCAACAGGGAGATAGTCAGGTAATAGCTGCATCCTGAACAGCTTTGACCAGCGATTCTTGCCCTCCCTGTGCATCTTATCAGAGGCAGAATCAGGGCTACATGGTCTGATCTGGTGTCACTGCAGAACTGGTCTCCTTGGCTTTGCAGCTGAGCTCAGGAGATTTTCATGACCTCTGTTAACCTAATGGTGATAAACCTTCTTAGAGGAATTGAAACCAAGTTGCATGAGTCTTTTGCTCTGATGTCAAGGTCTGCTTGCTAAGTCTCTGCTCTTATTCCCAGTGGAAGGAACAGCAAATTTTGCAATATCATAAGGGTGAGCAGGCTCATACCATGAATTTTTCAATTCTGCTTAAAACCACGAGGCTTTTGTAAGTGAGGTACTGAGCACCATCAGCCTACCTTGACATAAGAGCACTGCAGGATAGATACGTGAGAACTTAACAGGGTTGCTCCAAAGCTACTTGGATGAGCTCTACAGTCTCTTCAGAGTTTGTCTAACATGGAGCACTGCAGATGCTGGGATTGCCAGTGTGTAGTAACATGTGGAAGATCAAGTCAGGCGATAAATAATAAATAACAAATCTGTGTGTTCCAGTCAGTCCCTCTGATTCTCCTCCTGTTTTGTCTGCAGCTTTGCTCTTTATGTTCTCTCTATCCATTCCTTTCTCTGACTTGTCATCATCTCAGCGTTGTAGCACTGTCCCCCTGACATGGGTTAATGCTGCATGCTCTGGAGTCACTGTGCTTGTGGAACAGCAGTCCTACGCTTGCAGGCAGAAGCTGGCTCTGTTCTGCTCATGGGCTGAAGAAGCTGGCATGACCCAATGTACCCCTCCTCAGTCCCTTGCTGTTCAGTCCCTGAAGAGGAAGGTCGCCCGGTACAAAGTGTGACCACGGTACAAACTGAACTACACTTTGTGCCAGACAAGAAATTGTTTGTTTCCACTGGAAATCAGAGCAATATGTTGTTTAGTTTCTTGGCCATCACTTCCGTGCATTCATCTGTCTAATAAAAATAAATGTAGAAAACAAAAAAAGAACCAAGTTCATCCGTCTCTATCTTGTCTCAGTGTCTTCATCCCTCACTGTATCATCTCTCGTACGTGCATGCTTGTGATTTCTGTGTGTGCCTCTGCTCTCAGCACTTCTCTTTGGACACTTGAGCTGCATGTCACTGCTGCTGGGAGTGAGTCCTTGGGAAACGGTGGGGGGGACCCTGGCATGCAGCATGTCCTCTGCTGATGAATCTGTACTTGGGCTTGTCCTGAGGGCTGAATTAGCTGAGCTGGAGACTTCACACTGAGGGCTTCAGCACAAGATGTGGCTTCTTCTATTATCAATCATCAGGGTTTGGAGCTCAGTGTCCTATTTCTCGGTCCCCACAGCAGCCAGCACATTGGCACTTTGGGTGTGACATGGTTATGCCGTTTATAACCAAGATCACATTCTCGGGATAACAGACTCCTCCATGCCTGGAGCTGATTGTTGTAAGGAATGAGACAAGCTGGTGTCTCCTGGAGCATCCCAGCGGGTGTGGGGCTGGATCCATCAGCACCCGCTGAGGCCGGTAGCGATGACCCTGTTGCTTTCCATGGGCAAATTGTGATGCCTCCAACTGTGGGAGGGCAGGGAGGGGGGCACTGTCCTAGGCTTGGCTGGGGTGGCTGTTGGCTACCTCTCCCCAGAGCCCTGTCTCTCTTGGCAGCACTGGTGGCACCCAGCCTGTCTTCTCCAAAGGAGGAAGCTTCTCCACCTGACAAAACCCTGTCCTGGGCCTGA